ACAGTCTACCATGGTGAGTACAAAAGACCATCAACAAGCATTTACTAAGCAATTACTTGTCATATTTTTTCAATTAAAAACCATTACAAAATTAATTCTTTAAAAAATGATTTGTTGACTTTTTAAAAAATCACTGTCATTTCCCAGTAACTCTCTCCCAGCCCCACAACAGAAGCCTCCCTCTCAAGAAAAAAACATAGCCAAGCAAAACAAATGGACACATTGGTTCTCTCTAACAACATATGTGCCATTCTACACCTATAGTTCACCACTTTTCCACCAAGGAGAGGGAGGCCTGCTTCACCGAGGGTACACAAAAGTCTCTGTTAATTGCTGCTTTTATCAGCAATTTGGTTATTTCAATGTTCAACAAATATTAATTGTGTACCTGCTACATGCATGACAGTGTGTTAGGCTATCAGAAGATACAAAGACAAAATAAAGTAGTCCTTGACCTCGAGGATTTTAAAATTTAATTGAAGGGATAAGACATAGGCTAGGTAGCTAAAGTACACATTATAATCATATTAATTCAGGTTTTATTGCTTCATGGTTTAGAAAACACAACAATCCTGCCAGTGAGTTGGTACAAATACCACTATCCTTGTACTAGACAGTAAGTGGCAGCTAGGTGGAACAATGGGTAGAGCACCAGGCCTAGAGTCAGGAAGACCTGGGTTCAAATTTGGCCTCAGACACTTCCTAGCTGTTGACCCTGGGCAAGTCACTTACCCCTGTTTGCCTCAGTTTCCTCATCTGTAAATGAGTTAGAGAAGGAAATTGCAAACCACTCTAGTATCTTTGTCAAGAAAACCCCAGATGGGATCACAAAGGCTTAGACATGACTGAAACTACTGAACAATTATACTAGAGAGTAGAGAATGAAGGCCCAGAGAAGAAATGACTTGTCCATCATTGCACAGCCACACTGAGACTCACTCTGGGCCTTTGGACTCCATGTCCAATGCTCTTTTCACTGTGACATATACTTGACCATTGCTGCAGGGGATTCAAACAAAATACAATAAGAAATCCAATAGCATAGAGCTCATTTTCAGTTGGGAGGACCAGGGAAAGCTTTATGGAGGAGGAAATATACCAGTTGAGTCTCGAAAGATAGAGAGGATTTAGAAAGGTGGACATTATGAACATTCATCATTGTACTAGACCACATAATACAATGATACCCTCAGGAATTATCAAAGCATTTTGTTGACTTCCCAAATCAGTTAGTCAGTCAACAAGCACCATGCTAAGGTCTTAGGATACAGAGAAAAGCTAACAAAAACAAAAACCCACCAGTCACAGTCTAATGGGGAGAGACAATATGTAAATAACTATGTACCAGGATAAATTGGGGATAATCCCAGAGGGAAGGTACTAAGATTAAAGAGGACTAGGAACAGCTTCTTATAGAAGGTGGAATTTTCTCATAGAATGTTGGGATTTTATAATTTTTCTTTCTGCTAATAGTATTTTTTTTCTTCTGCCCAGTGCTTTCAATAAGATTACCATGATCAAAACTAGAAGAGACTAGGACACGAGTAGGAGCATCTCCACATTATTGTCAACTCACTAGCCCAATGTCCCACCTCCTGCCAAGTTATACCCAATTTTGCACAGTATTTAGAAAATTGGCATAACCCAGATGCTAGTTTACTTCCATTTTGTCACAGATCCTTCTGAATAAAAAGCTTCTGTGAAAAAAATGTCAGATGAATCAGTCTACTGACAACTATCAGATGTCACTTCTCAGGATATCCCTGTATCCTACTGCCCTATTCTGTCTGAGTGAGGAATCAGAGGGTGGCTCCATCTTGCCAAGAATGTAAAGTATGCAGGCTTTTGTTAGCTATTTGCTTCTCAGAAACCTTTTATCTTCTGCTTGGGGTTGGATGCTAGGAGTAGAATGTTGAAGTTGCTGAAAGTCTAATTCTGGATTGCTAGGAGAGAGGGGAGAGATCTTTTTATGGATTAAGGATACACAATTTAAAAAAATTTATATACTACATTCCAATTTGTAAAATTTATTCTTTCAGTAGGGATTATATACTTTACAAAAGGAAGCTGCAGTGAACCCATTAGGTAGCGAATTCTCCAATATATTTAAATAAGATTTAATTGACTAAAGTTTAATTTCTGTACAATTCTTCAAGTACTATATCAAATAAGGTCCTCTTGACCCCCTGCAAAAAATGTAGCATGGCATAATGGGCAGAGAACCAAACTTGATGTCAGGAAATACTGTGCTTGCATCCCACCTCAGACATTTAATTGCTATATGATTGTGGGCATTTAATTTCTCTCAGCTTCAGTTTCCTCATCTGTAAAATGGGTATAATAATAGTACTATACCAGAAGATATCTGTGAGGATCTAATGAGATAGATAATATGCATAAAATGCTTTGCAGACCTTAAAATACTACATAAATGTTAGCTATTATGATTGTTTATAAGATTAAAATGTTACACTAATGTATTTACCAGATTTCTCACTGAATTGAGTCCTATGGTCCCTGGTTTGATCTTGCATGAAGGAAACAACTGCTCAATCAACATTTATTAAGCACCTACTATGTGCCAGGCACTGGGGATACAAAAGGAGGCAAAAGATAGTCCCTGCCCTGAAAAAACTTACAATCTAATGGACACAGCTCCAAAGTGAACATGCATAGTAGGGCTTGAGCAGTAGAGTAAATGATGAGTGGAGAGATAGCTTGGTAGAGTGAAAAGTATTTGGACTAAAAATTAGCAAACCTGAAGTCCAGTTCTATTTCTGCTACCTACTTTCTTTGAGACATTGGAAAAGTTACTTTCCTTCTCTGGTCTTTTCAACCAATAGGGGATTGGTTATAGAGGAATTCTAACATCCCTTTCAGCTCTAAAATTCTATGATTCTTTGAGTCTCATGATCTTGTGTAACCAATCAGAACACTGAGTTGGAAATAATCTCAGAGGTTGTCTGGTTCAAAGGGGAGCAGAAGTCCCTTCTACACAGGTTCATGCTGGAGCCAGCTCCTACCACCTTCCAAGAGCCAATTGTTAAATTTTCAGTGTGAGCACTGACATGTTGGAATTCAGCAAATGCTACAAATCTGGGCTTGGTTTATTATTTAGTTGATTGTCTACCTAAGAAAGCAATGTAGAAAATGTTAATAATGCAGATTAAAATCCCCACTCACCCACCCAGAGAGCTGGTTATTAAACATTTTCCAGCATATTCTTGCTTCTACACCATTCCTGGAAGGGGCCTTTGTTTGAAGACCTCTAGGAATGGAGAGCTCTATCTTTAAAGATAGCTTATTTTGCCACATTCTCTTCGATCCAATGACACTGGCCTTTGGGCTATTTCACAAACAAGACATTCCATCTCAGCTCTGAACATTCTCTCTGGCTGTCCTCCATGCCTAGAACACTCACCCTCCTCTGTTCCAACTACTGACCTCTTTGACTTCCTTTAAGTCCTAACTAAATGCCCACCTTCTTCAGAAAACCTTCCCTAACCCCTCTTAATTTCAATGATTTTCATCCTTTAATTATTTCCTATTTATCCTCTTTATAGCTTTGTTTGTATATATTTGTTTGCATGTTCTCTCCCCCATTAGACTGTAAGCTCCTCGAGGACAGGCTTAGCACAGTGCCTGGTACATAGCAGGTGCTTAATAAATGTTTATTGAATTTAATTGAATTATATAGAGGCAAAATCTGCCTCTCAGTATCTTATATCAATTGGTCCTCATTCTGCCTTCCAGGTCCAAGTGAAATAAAACTCATCCTTTTTCCAGGTGATGGTACTTTAAATACTACATGACAACCAACAGGAAGTTTTGTTGTCCCCACTAAGTCTTTTCTTTTCCAATCTAAATATCCCTAGGTCTTTTATACGGATAGAGTAATTTCCTTTTCTTTTAATTTTAAAAATAAAATTATTATTTATTTATTTTTAATATGCTTTTCTTTTTAAATTTTGTGTTCCAAATTCTCTCCCTCCCTCCCATTACTCCCCCACCCACTGAGAAGGTAAGCAAAATGATAGCAATTACACATATGAAATTATGCAAAACATTTCCATATTAGCCAAATTGCAAAACAAAAAGAAAGAAAGAAAAAGAAAAAAAGAAAGTGGAAAAGTTATACTTCAATTGCAGAGTTCATCAGTTTTCTCTCTGGAGGTGGATAGCATTCTTTTTTTCATCATAGGTTTTTTGGACCTGTCTTGGATTGTTGTATTGATCAGAGTAGTCAAGTCTTTCACAGTTGATCATTGTTACAACATTGCCGTTATTGTGGACAATGACCTTCCGGTTCTTCTCACTTCACTTTGCATCAGTTCACATAGGTCTTGTCACATTTTTCCTGAAACTACCCGCCTTGTCATTTCCTATAGCATAATAACATTCCACTGCAACTATATGCCACAGTTTGTTCAACCATCCCCCAACTGATGAGCATCCCTTCAATTTCCAGTTCTTTGGCACCTCAAAAAGAACTGCTGTAAATATTTTTGTACATATAGGTCTTTTCCCCTTTTCTTTGATCTCTTTGGGATACAGACCTAGGTGGTATTGACGGATCAAAATGTATTCACTTTTGATTGACCTCAAGGTCATGGATGATAAGAACTAGAAGAAACCTCAGAGGTCATCTAGGCCATTTTACAGATGAAAGCCTAAAATCCAGTAACATTAATCTTCAAGGTCCCTTCAAGTTCTTACATTCTACCACTTTAATGGATGTGGAAATTATTTGACCACCATAAAAGCACTCTACAAATTATTGTTGTCAATGAACATTTATTAAGTACCTATTATGTGTCGGGCTCTGTGTTAAATGCTGTGAAACAGATCCCAGGTTTTGTCAGACCTGAAAAGTTAACCTATGACTTCATAGCTTTTTTTTTCAGCTGCAAAATGAGGGATTGGAATAGATGATCTCTCCCAACTCTAAATCCCATGAGCCTGTAAGACTGACTATGTGTCTGACTTTTGGTTCTTTCCAGCGGTGAGTCAGGAGCTGGGAAGACAGAAACGACCAAACTGATACTTCAATTCTTAGCCATCATTAGCGGCCAGCATTCTTCGATTGAGCAGCAGGTCCTGGAAGCCAACCCCATTCTGGAAGGTAGGTGGGTCACTAGTCCTTCTTTAAAAGGTAGGTCCCTCCTTTGACCATCTCTTCTTCAATCAGTCAGTCAATTAATAAGTATTGACTAATCAGCTACTGGTCAATGCGGTAGGTGCTGGGGATAAAAAGATAGAAATGAAATTGCCCCTGCCCTCAAGGACCACACATTCTGTTGTGGAAGGGAGGAAGAAGAGAAACAACATGAAAATATAAACAAAATAAATACAAGTTAATATGGGGTGAGCACTGGCAGCTGAATCAGGCTTCATGTAGAAGGTAGTAAAAATCAAGTTTTGAATGAAATGGCAGATTCTAAGAAGTGACAGCAGTGATTAAGGAGAGCATCCAGGCATGGGAGACAGGAGACAAGGCATGCTTTTCTGTGAGGAAAAGCAGATCAGTTTCATTGGACCCCAACTTAGAGCCCCTAGGGTTAGAATTGCCTCACCCTTACTATGAAGCAATGTAGTTTGCACAAGGTGGTCTGGTGTCCACTTATGGTTCATGAGGATTCCTCAGTAGTCCAAAGTCTGCTCCTGAATGTAAATATAGGATGTTACACAATGTTTGGGTGATCTCAGAAATTCCAAGGGAAATAAGAAAGAAATCCCAAGTAGGGATGAGGAGAGTTACTTCTTCTTTGCTCTGTTAGAACCTACCAACCATATGGTTCAAGTTCATTGGGTAGATCCATTATGTTGCTTACCCTAAATACTACCTTAGATGATAATAATAATAGATAGAACTTATATAGTGTTTTAAGGCTTACAAAACAATTTACATTTGCTAACCCAGTTGATCCTTACAACAATCCTAGGAGGTGGGTACTATTTTTATACTGTGTTACAGATGAGAAAATTGAGACTCAGGTTAAGTGACTTGCCCAGGATCACACAGCTTATGCTAAGTCTGAGGCAACATTCAAACTCAGCTCTTCCAAGTCCCATGCTTTATCCACTGGGCCATCTAGATACCATTGAGAATGCAAGGAATGAATGTGGACCCCACAATTACTCACTTTCTGTTCATGGAGAGGAATGGCATGCAATGCTAAGATCACATTTGATACTCATCCCCCCACTCCCTCTTCTACTCTGCCTCCTACCCTCCTGAAAACCTATGGTGACCATCTGTCTAATGGAGAAGAAATCATGCCTCTTCTCTTTTCCTGACCTCCCCTGGCACCTCTTTGTTTCTCAGCCTTTGGCAATGCCAAGACAGTTCGAAATGACAACTCAAGCCGCTTTGGAAAATACATTGAAATCCACTTCAACAAAAATGGAGTGATTGAAGGAGCCCAAATAGAACATTTCCTTCTAGAGAAGTCCCGGGTCTGCCGGCAGGTAAGTCTATCTCACATGGGAGATCATTTTGAGCAGCAGAGGCAGTCCACAGTGAAATGGTCAAGTAGCCATGGTTTGTTCGTCTTCAGTGTCTCTCCACGTCTTCGTTCCAGTACACCACTACCCTGGCACCCAGACCTGATTCATTTAGACCACCCTCCTGGATGACACCCCTTGCTCTAGCTCTTTTCCTCTTTTCTCCCTGAGTCAAAACTAATTTGTCTTATGCCAGAACCAAAGCTAACTGCAGGCAAGGTAGGCACCTGTCTAGGGCATACCACTCAAGGGGAAACAGATACATTTTGAATATTACTTTTTAAAAACTCACGTATTTTGAATACCAGAAAATTCTATTCTATGTGCCAGATAATAGTTTTATGGTGTTGGGTTGCAGCAAAGACTCTAAACCTCTAGCTCAAGAGTAGAAATTTGCAGAGCTTGTTTTAGGTCACACAAATACTTCATCCTGTTTCTATCTTGTGGCCCAAAGTCTCATGGCCCAGGACTCCGCAAAATTACAATAGCTTTTTAGATACTGACCAGACAAACCATTGTAGTGTCTGCTAATATAGTTATTGTACTAACCTTCCCAGGCAGGAACGGGTTTACTCCTTTATTTCAGTAAACAGATGTGAGCGTTCCCTCCACACATGTAGATAGATCATGGGCCTCAAGATCATGCCTTAGGATGAGAGGCTGAAGGAAATGGAGATAGCCCAGGGAAGAGACAATTTAGAAAGAGACGTGAGAACCACCTTCAGGTATTTAAAGGATTGCTATCATGTGGAACAAGGATTAGATTTGTTCTCGTATATTGTAGAAGAGATTCTTGTTTGTGCATGGGTTCAACTCAAGGGAAGTCCTTGCTAACTCTGAGATTCAATGATTCTTTGATTCTGTGAAAGACCCAGAATGTGCATTGGTGTTTCTTTCCTTTTCTCTTTGTTTCTTCTTTCCTTCCTCCCTTCTCTTTGTTTCTTTTTGTCCTTCCTTCCTTCTTTCCTTCTTTCCTTCCTTCCTTCCTCCCTCCCT